GGACATTCTCATTCAAACCACTCTATGCATTAATCATGGCCCACTATATATAGTAAGAAGATTCTCTGATGAATGCTGAGCACAGCACTAATTTCAAATAGCAACAGGGTGCTGGAAGAATTTTTTTTATTTTTGTACATAATTCTACAATACCTTTTAATGATCATATGCTATTCCATTGTGTGACTGTGGCATAAATAATGTAATTATTCCTTTGTTTGGCTATGAAGATACTTTCTATATTTTCCTTATAAATAATGCTGCAATGAAAGAAAACTGTACAGCGACACAAACACATTACCTCTGTATTTTTGTCTCTATATTGTTTTCAGAAGATGTAAAATCTGATCTGACAAATCGAATAGGAAAACAAGAGCATTTGGGACAACATGAAGCAGGCCAGCTTGTAGGATCATTAAGTACATTTTAAAAATAGCTTTATTGATAAGTAATTTACTTATTAAGTAATTTTACTGGTGAATCACAGAGTGAATGTCAAAGATGAACTGAATGCATCGTTAGGGAGGGTAGACAGAGGCAACATAATGGAAGACCTTGAAGAACTTGTCCTGTAGGGCCTTGAAAATTAGCATGAGTAGAACATGAAATGAGTATTTCAAGTGAGTGAGCAAAGAAATATTAGTAGTGGAGTGAGGATCTTTGTAAATGCTTTCTCCAAAAGCAACAACAAAACTGTAAAAAATATGAAAACAACACTTTCATATTTCTGGACATTGAACAGGGCATATAAAAAATTAAGACGTGTTCATTTTCGAAGACCTATTGACTTCTGAGAAGAACAATCGTGGTGGTATTTTATTATAGGGCCACTCCTATCTTATCCAGGGCTTCATGCCAGGGAAGCAATAAGGAACAACAGTGGAGGAGGCTGAACTGGTTTTAAGCGCTGGGAAAAAATGGCCAAAGGTTTGTCAAAAACTCTAGCAACATCACAGCTGCCAGAAGCTGTATTATTCTTTGAAACAAGTGAGAGACTAGCTAAAAATTTAACAGGGAAATCTATGGAACGAGAAATGTATACTAGGATTTGATAAGATCCCACATATTCTTTGGTTTCTGAATGTTTATACACATGCTCAGGAAAGTGTTTCAGTTATTCACTTGTCTCTAGACAAGCAGAAAGCAACAAACAGCCAGTGCAGACTTCTAAGCTGCCTGAATCTTGAATGTGTGTCCAACCCACTTATAAATACCTTCAACAAAGGACAGAATCCTCACTGGCAGAAGATGTTTAAGTACTATATCTGAACAATCACTGAATTGACCAGTAAGATATGGCTTAACAGGAAGCTAGCCTTAAAAGTAAAGATAAGAGAAAAAAAGAATTTTGAAACTAAGTAGAGACACCAGCAGCCACACACTGCAGGGAGCTAAGAAACAGGTGGAATAACAAAATGCTGAAAGAATAAAATAAAACTTTCAACTGAGAATTTTATGCTCACTAAAATTATTCATTTTTCATTTTATTTTTTTCTTTTTCTGTGTTTGTGTGTGTGTGTGTGTGTGTGTGTGTGTGTGTGTGTGTGTGTGTGTGCTGCATGTCTGTGAGTAGCTATATGTGGGTTCACTTGCCTGTGCATGCAGGCCAGAGGGGACTTCAGGTATATTCCTCAATTGCTCTTTTTTATTTTATTTTATTTCATTTCATTTCATTTCATTTCATTTCATTTCATTTCATTTTGAGACAGGATCGCTCATGGAACCTAGAGCTCACCATTTTGGCTAGACCAGTTTGCCAGCAAGCCCCCAAGATCCATCTGTCTCCATTTCCCCAGAGCTGGGGTTACAGGCACACACTGCTACACCTGGCTTTTAAGTGGGTTCTGAGGATATGAACTCATGTCTTCATG